CTGACTTCTTTCTTCGCCATGGTTCTGTTTCTTCTGCCGTACCGGCTTCTTTTTTGGATCCACGGCCAGTTTATGAACCGCCAGATCAGGACTAATGCCTGGCATTTCATGGACTTCGAATGCAAAGATGTCCTTGTATTCTTTCAATAGTCTGTGAAAGTCGTCACCAAGGTCTCTCAGAGCAGTCGTCCCAACTTTGACTGTTCGCTCAGGACGTGAGTCGTCTAAGATCAAGTCCGTATGCTCACCAGCCGGCTGAGGGCGGAATTCATCCGACCGCTCCTCTGCCAATGATTGCTATTTTTTGTCTTTTCTTGCGGCACCTGTCTGGGATGCCTTTCTCTTCTTGCCGCCTGCTTCTTGAACATGCGCACTCTCCTTGACTTTGTCAAGGTCTGTTTTCCCACCACTTGACCCAGTGGCCATAACAGTGGGCTTGACATCCGAGAGATAGCACTCTCGGGCCATCTTCTGATCTCCCCTTAGGGACCCGACTGTTCCATTATCCCTCTCAAACTTGAGCAACATAAGAGATGGGATTATAACAGCCTTGGAATTATTCAGGGTTGGTCGTCCCAGAATCATGTTGTAGGCCGAGAGTTCTTCTACTACCAGGAACCGGACTACCATGTGTCGTCCTTCCCCTTTTTCGCCCAGGCGGATGGGTAAATCCACTCATCCCAGTGGGTGGACGACTCCTCCTCCAAACCCTACTAAAGGGTGAGAGGCCGGATGTATGCAATCAGTCTGATATTTTAGTTTCGACAGACATTTGCTACTGATGAGATCTGAGGAGCTTCCGGTATCTATGAGGATTCGGCCAACTCTCTGGTTGGCCACTTTACATTCAATAACGATAGGGTCGTCATGCGGCCCTCTTACCCCTCCTAGATCTTCTTAAGTGATGACAATCTCAGGAAATGAATATTTGGACGGCCGTTCTTGGTGAACGGAATTTACATCTAACCGCCTGATATTGTCTTTGTTGCCCCTAATAGTGGGGCCGCCTCCTGAGAAGCCGCCTGCAATGGTGTAGACGACTGCATCATCTGTATCGGAGCTGTCGGCCTGTTGATTCTTTTAGGATAAACTGGTTATCCTTGTTAAACGCATACTTTGGGGAGTATGGTTTGAATTCTTTTTTCTTTTTCTGGGCCGGCTGTTTAGAGGAATCAGCCGCCCAAACCTCTTTTCTCTTCTCATCTTTGTTTGACGACTGTTTCTGTCGTCCTTCTCTTTTGTCGAACCTTTTCCCGTCCGACTGTTTTACCGTACAAAGATCAGTCGCCTGTATATAGGCTTCCGCTTCAATCAAGGCCTCTTGAAGAGTCGCCACCCTCTTTCGGACCAAGTCAAATTTGAAGGTCGACCCGTCCTTGAGACCTCTGAAAAAGTCAGTATAGGCTACCTCATCCGGTAACCCTTGAATCTGTATTCTCATCAGGTTAAACAGCCTGATGTAAGAACGAAGACCCTCCTTCTCGCCCTGCTGAATTGTTCCTAAATCAAGGGTCGTCTTTTTCGCAGGGATGTTCATGGCGAAGTTGGAGGTGAATAAGTAAGCAAGCGTCCTGAAGTTATTTACACAACCAGTCGGCAGGTTGCCGAACCATTGTTGTGCGATTCCTTTCAGAGTCGCTGGGAAACACTTGCACCAAGTGGGATCATCCAACCCTTGAAGGTACATCAGGTTGGTGAATGCCATCAGATGGTCTTCTTGGTTAGTAGTGCCGTCATAGGCGCCTACTAATACATTTTTCACTTTGGCCGGCTAAGCGGCTTCAGTAATTTCCTTGGAGAAGGCCGACGGCTGTTCACCAAGTCTAAGCAACCGTAGCTGTCAGTCCATAGGTTGGACGTTTTTTGCTGCATGTCCACCAAACGGAGGTGGCTGCAAAAAATACTGTTGTTGCGGCACAAACGGTAAGTTTGGTACCGCCTGGTCGCTATGAAAGCCGGACTGACGGGAGGTACCGCCTGACTGACTCTCATGATACGACTGCGTATGCCTCATTGAGGTATTTCGCAGACTGTCTTGGAAGTTTGAAGTAGAGGCCGACTCTGACAATCGGTCACTCTTCTTCTGCTCTAGCAGTAGCCGAGCGTCTGTGAATGTTTGCTTCGACCCGTCCGCCTGAATATGACGAACAGGTTTCCTATTTCCTGTAGGAAAACAGAATTTTGTGAAATCAAGGGCAGGTGGCTCCCGCTTCCTAGATTTAGGATGAGGAGTCGCCTCTCGCCCTTGAACTGACTTCCTCTTCAGTGAAGTGGAGGGTTTCTTAGCCGATTGCTCCTTGACCAGAGCAGGCGGCTTCTTGTTGATCAACTCTTGAATCTCTCCCTTGAAGTCCCTCATGAAGGTCATGAGTTCGTTCCTTGTGATGGGAGAAGACCCATCAGTTGGCTGTTGCCGAACAGGCGGTGCGCCTGCTGGCTCGCTTCCTGTATGAAGATGTTCCCGTTCCCTCCTTTCGGTATGACGGGTACGTCGGGCCCTTAGGGTCCCGTCTGAAGCTGTGTGAGCTTCAACTTCAAATTCACTCTCAGTATCGTGGTCCGACTGAACTTGAGGGTCGTCTAGGGGACGCCTCTCTTCAGGAGTCGGTACAGACTTGGATGCCATCTCAGAAGTACTCTCCCCACAGACGGCGCCAAATGTTTCGGGGTTTTCTGATGTCCTGCGGGAGAGTTACAATTCCGAGACTGGAACCGGACGCCTGTACCTGCAAAACAACGGAGACTCCTGGTGGTGGGAGCTCCGCCTCCAACGGTCAAGTTAGTACTTGATTAAGGAGTAATTAATGCGGAAATTAAAGTGATTGGGTCTCTCTAGGTGAGAGTGTTTAATGTGAGTTTTTAGCGTAATCAGCTTGTAACTCTGTGTGTAATCAATGTGTTTTTTCTGTAATCCCCCCTTAATGAGGATTAAGGGAGGTATTTATAACCTTGGGAAACGTGCCAATCCTAGGTTTAGGTTAACCTAGGGCTGATTGGGCTTCCCTCGGAAGTTGGGCCTGGGTGGCCGGTTTCTCCATTAGGCATGGAGTATGCCACGTGTCATGACATAACAGGTCCAAGGTGGACGAATAAGCGTGTGCCACGTGGCAAGCCCTGACAGTTCCAACTGGGGGACACTTGGCAGGACTTGACTGGCCCACGTGGCGCATTCCGATTGGTGGGAGCAAAATCCCCTAATCAGTAAACTTTATTAAAACTAGTATAACATTTAATATTATTGTGAACTTATAGTACAACGTTATGACCCTAATTATAACATAGTGACCTTTATTATTCTTACTAACCAGTATATAAAATATTTCATTAAAAAAATTAACCTCTTATAGCCTATATATTACCAAAATGACTTTTATTTCAACATAGACACCTTTATTCTATTATAGTGACTTTTTTTTTTTAACTAATAAAACAACCATAGTTTTCCTAATGTTAGTGGTCCACAAAAAATTAGTGTGAACCAGGTTCATTTAAGAATTTTTAATTATCTTAATCTGGAGATGACTCTTGTATAATCAACAAATAAATCTTTCAACAGTTGTTGTGCAATCATTTTGTAAGACAAAATAATATACTTACAAGCCTCTATGTTAAAATAAAAGGAATGAAGTCACTATTTGGAAACAAAAAAAATGTGCGCCTAGATTATTTGATTATTTTTTTTTTTTTTTGTTACGGCAAGTTTACCATAAACGAGATTTCAATCACATGTTAGAATAGGTATCTATTTCCATAGAATTTTTATCTTAAATGCGTACTAATAAAGCTCATTATTGCACAAAATAGAAGCGACACCCACTTAATGGAAATAATTGATTTTAAAAAAAGTTTTAAATACTCAATGACTCACCCATATTTTACTCCTCTAACTGAACTAATGAGTGCAAATGATTACCCGAGGAACAAGGATGATAAGAGGATGTCGTAGTAGAAGTTATAGAGGCTTATGACTTTAGTCATGGGCGGTCATAAAAAAAAGAAAAAGAAAGTAGACTGCGTGTGCTTGCACTACCTCATAGACGTGTTGATTTATTTATTTATCTGTTATTTTTTTTTACTTTTTGTAAAACAAATTTTCTTTTTTTGAGATTATACTTTGTTGTTGTTGATAAAAAAAAAAAAAGACCTAAACCACTCGCTTATAGGACAACTAACTAACCACATTCTCATGAGTTATGAACATGACTAACTTGAGTGGGTTAAGGTGATTTGTACCATAAGTCATGAAATTGACCTCTCTTATACATGATATTTAAAAACGTCAAACCTCAAATTAAGTATTTGATTCCAACCCAAGAAAATTTTCATTTATCCAACATTTTTGTAGAACAATTTAGCCAACATAAACATTATCAATAGAGCAATTTTTATGAGCAATATTTCTAAAATGTAAAAGTAATGTTCACAAAATAAACGGACTCAATTCAAGTGGCCGGCGCAGGCCACACGAGGGCTAGTATCATCCCTTGTATTCCCAATTTTTTTCATTAAAAACCTAAACTCTAGGTAATCTTACAATTTTCGAATTAAAAAAATCAAAAAATAAAATAAAGTATTAAATATATTAATGGGTAGTAATCTTCTGTATACACTTCTACCTCCTCAACTCATCATTACAATCATATCAATCACACCAACCCAATAAACATCTAACACGTCTAATAATAATTACAATACAAAATTCCAAAAAACCCTTGTATCAAAATCTTACTTAATTAGCTGACGTGGCAGCATCTTACGGTAACCCTTACCTTGTACCGCGTCACAGAGTATCCCACTGACCCTAATCCAGTATTAACCCTTTGACCAATAAGACCTATCCACGTCAACACATACCTCTTTTTCTCACCGCTTTGATTTTGCCACCGACTACGTACGCCAACCTAACAGATGCCACGTGTCTTGTATTACCGGTTATAGCCGGTTCATTTTCCTGTTTACTGGTGCAGCCGGTTGCTTCGGCTCTCTTACTTTCCTAGCTAGCTATATAAAATTGGTTTGTATTCCATTTTCATTTTTCTCTCTCCTCCCCAAAATTTCAGCTTTTTTTTCCTTTTTTTTTTAATAAAAATTATTTCATTTTTTAATTTTCCGGAGGCTTCAGCTTTTCTCCTAGCTCGCCGTTTTCAAAGGTTTGTTCTTTCTCCTTCTCTCTTCAAATTCAGCACTATTTTTCAGTGATCAGTGTAATTTTTTTTTTGGTATAATTGTTTCCATTTCTTAATTTATCTTGACCATTTCCTTTTTTTGGCTTTATTTTTCCCCAATTTTTTTTTTTATGTGATTAAAGTTTGATTTTTTGTGTAATCTAGTCATCTGGGTGTTAAATCTTTGTTGATTTGAGTTGTTAATTTAATTAAAGTGATAAATTTGTTTGGTGGGGTTATGGTAATTTGAGTTCTTGGTTCCATTTTTGGAAATATATGAGTTTAATTTAAAGATTTAAAGTATGTATTTTTTGGGTTTTTAAAATTTTAATTGAGGTTGGATTTGATGGATTTTGTTAGAAAATGATGTGATTTAATGTCTATTGTGTGTTTTTATGGTAAAACAAGGTGGGATTTTTTTTTTACTTAATGTGGTTAGCTTTTTTTTTTTTTTTTTTGTTTTTGTTTTTTTAGTGGGTAGCAATTAGGGTTTTCCTAGTTGATAACTTAGCTCTTTAACTTCAATAATCATGGATAGGTTTTATATTATATGGTTGTTTTGTTGAGATATGATGTGGGTTCCGAAGGTTTAAAAGAGCAGGCTTGGAGTTTAGAAGTTGGTTTAATTATGGATAGAATTTTATGTTATATGGTTGATAATTCAAGTAGTGACTAGGCTAGGATAACAGTTGTTAAATGTTGAATTTGATTGCTGGTTCACTAGGTTTTGCTTCTGCTGATTGTAGCTTTGGTTTGTGTTTTCACTAGAGTATAAGGCTGTCAAGGAAAACAAACAAATCACTGTACGACCGAGCGACTTGGGTAATATAGAGCTTTTGGATTGGGTAGTTTTTGTTATAGTGTTGGGAATTGATAATATAATCTGTTCTAATATTGTATTTGCGAGGTTTACTGTGAGGGCTCTATTATGGGTTTCTGTATGTAGCTCTACTTGAGGAAATTGGGTATAGTTTTTGGTGAAAAGAGGGGAAATCAGGCCTGGCTTTGGAGAGCTATTTGGATTCCAGCCATCAAGGGTCGGTGCCGCTCATGGCACCTTCTCGGGTGGCTGGAGGACTGTCTCAATCTTCAGCAAGTTCTGGTATTTTTTTCCAAGGAGATTCACAGTCTCAGAATGTAATTAACTCTCACTTGAGTTCGTCTTTTGGGAACACTGCCAATTCAATTTCTGGAACAGGGCGCTCGAACCTAGGCCCACTTTCTGGCGACGTGAATCAGACGGTTTTGAACAGTGTGGCTAATTCAGGGCCAAGTGTTGGAGCTAGTTCTTTGGTCACTGATGCGAACTCAGCCTTCTCAGGAGGTCCCCATTTGCAAAGAAGTGCCAGTATCAACACAGAATCCTACTTACGATTGCCTGCTTCACCAATGTCATTTACTTCCAATAATATTAGTGTTTCTGGCTCTTCTGTAATAGATGGGCCAACAACAGGGCAACAGGGTTCTCATCACGACCCTAATTCTCGACAAGCTATGCAGAATCAACATCAGTTTCCACAAGGGGCTTCTGGTGCTTCATCGTTGCTTCAACATCAGTTTCCACAAGGGGCTTCTGGTGCTTCATCGTTGCCAACTTCTCAAACAGGCCAACTCGCACATTCTTTGGGGTCAAGGCTTCATAATTCATTCATCCAAGATCCTGCTAATGTATCCCACCTGCAGAAAAAACCGCGGTTGGATATCAAGCAAGAAGATTATTTGCAACAGCAAGTCTTGCAACAGTTTCTGCAGAGACCGGATCCAATGCAGTTGCAAAGCCATAACCCACAGTTGCAAGCTATCCTTCAGCAGCAGAGGCTACGACAGCAGCAACAATTTTTGCAAGCTATGCCACCAATGCAGCGTGTTCAGTTACAGCAACAGCAACAGATGAGACAGCAACTTCAACAAAATGTGCAACAACAAATGGTTTCTATGAAGAATCCACAAGACACTGGAGGCGTATGTGCCCGTCGTCTGATGCAATACCTTTATCATCAGCGGCAACGACCACAAGTGAGTTGTTACTTGTATCTTAGTGCTACTAAATTTTTGTTTGTCTTCTGAACTGTACTGTCACTGCTGCTGATTGTAGTCTGTACACGTTGCTCTTCTGAACTTATGTTATTTATGATGGTCTGTTTGGATCTGAAAGTTATCTGTCATGTGAGGCATTCTCAATTTCTCATTATAGTATGTCGTTTTCTTCATCTTACTAGCAGTGTCACCTCTTCTGGCCATACTCATCTTTCTGTGTTAACAGGAAAATACGATTGCTTATTGGAGAAAATTTGTGGCAGAATACTACGCTCCCCGTGCTAAGAAACGGTGGTGCTTGTCTCTGTATGAAAATGTTGGACAACATGCATTAGGGGTTTTCCCACAAGCTGCTATGGTTAGTTACAAAATCTTCTTAACTGGAGCGACTGTTTAGTTCTGCTATTGTTTTTACTATATTGATCTGTCTGAGTTAGCAGTTTGACCCCCCCCCCCTCTCAACCTGGTGATTTGTTTGGCCAGTTTTCTTATATTTGCTGTTTGCATGACTTAGGATGCTTGGCACTGTGACATATGTGGCTCCAAGTCTGGAAGGGGGTTTGGTAAGTTTGTGTTCTGCATATACATTTTATTGTTTTGTGTTGTTTTAAAATCTTTTTGTATCATGTATAAAAATATCTGGAATAAGCAAATTATGTAACTGTTTCTTGCAGGTGAATTATACTGCCTTTAGTATATTCTTGTTGGAGATGTATTATTGTGACCTTCAATTAACTCTAAAATAGCCTAGTTTATTTATGAGGATTGAAAACTTATCAGATCAGAGATAGTTTCTACATATATTTATAGGTATTTAACGTGTTCCATGTTAGTTTCATTTGCTAGATTCTGATAGCATGGTCATGGTTGATTCTACATAACAAAATATTTTGGATTGCATGCTACTTTGTGCTCTGTTACGACATCTCCGAGACTTGGTCAATGATTGAATATACCCTACACTTTACTTTAAAGACTGAGAAGAGATGATTGCTTTTATTTATGTATCTTTTTTCTTAGCTATTCTAGATTTTGTTATTGTTTGCTCTCTCATCATCTTACATGGAACCAATATTAAATGTAGATTTTTTGCTAAACAATTGTGATTTACTAAATTTCTAGCGACTCAAGTGTGAGGCTCCTCATCTGTCATGTACTGGTTATATTCTGTATAGCGAATTCTGAAGGGTATACTTTTAAGATTGACACAAAAATGGTCTAGAAGCAAGGTTGTACCGCAGTTAGCTGTCTATTTGATGCAGGCTAATTGAGAGGGTGCAAATATGAAGTATTATTGGTCCAAACATGGGATTAAGCTTGCTGCTGTGCTTATATATTTATCCTATATACTGTGCCTCAATGCACAATTTCATTTGCTTAAGTTGGTTAGGGCGATTAAGAAAGATGCTATATACGGTTTTGCTTCTAACCATCTTATTATTCTCCCGTGTGTTAACAGAAGCAACATATGAAGTACTCCCACGGCTCAATGAAATTAAATTTGGCAGTGGCGTGATAGACGAGCTTTTGTTTGTTGATGTGCCCCGTGAACGTAGGTTTGGTAATGGAATAATGATGTTGGAATATGGGAAAGCTGTTCAGGAGAGTGTGTATGAGCAAATTCGTGTTGTTCGTGAGGGTCAACTAAGAATCATATTCACCCAGGAATTAAAGGTAATGTTTGGTATTGTAATGTGATATATTCAATTCCAGTACCTTTACCTTTCTACTTCTTGCACATTTACCATCTTTGATTCACAGATCTTATCATGGGACTTCTGTGCCCGTCGCCACGAGGAGCTACTTCTTAGGAGGCTTTTTGCCCCTCAGGTACTTATTTCTTTTTTTCCATTTCTTATTTCAAGTCTTAACAATCTTTACACCTTCAATTTTGGAATATATCTGGATAAACTTTTCTCATCCTGTTTAAGTTAATGAAGAGTTGAAGACAATTTAAATGATGATTTCCTCCTCTCCACCCCATTTTCTCTTATTATTATTTTTTTTCTATATATTCATCACACTTCTACTCTTAATCTCCATAATCTTACATTTTGGGATGGAGTGTGTATTATTAAACATATTCAAGTTCTCTGCGTAGTGAATCTTTGTTTGTTTAGTTGTGTGTGTGTGTGTGTTTTTTTTTTTTTTTTTGATGCTCAATGTGTAATAAAGAAGCTATATGCTTATTTATCAGGTGAATCAGCTGCTTCAGGTTGCGCAAAAATGTCAAAGCACACTCGCTGACAGTGGATCTGAAGGAGTTTCTTCACAAGATTTACAAACGAACAGTAATATGTGAGTTTATTAATCTTTAGCAAGAGGTTAACAACGGTCACAATTGGTATATTTTGCTGAAAATTGCAGTATGGAGTGCCTTGTTTACTATCTTTCATCGTAAAGGCTAAGAAATGTGTTATATATACGTGGTAGTTACCATTACATTTTCATACAGTTAATATCATTTAGTTGAACTGTCGATCCTGTAGTAAATCATAAAGATTCTTGGAAATAAATGCCATGTAATTTTATGGTATTAATTTTTTCATTTCAACCAAACTCTAATATGGGTAATAAATTGAAAATCTGAAATCATTTTTCTGCTGTAGGGTTGTAACAGCTGGTCGTCAACTTGCTAAGAGTTTGGAGTTGCACTCACTCAATGACCTGGGATTCTCAAAAAGATATGTTAGGTGTTTGCAGGTGTGTTTTTGTTCACCTTGTTAACACTGATGATAAATTCTTTCTGATAATGTATATCGCTATATCTGATAGTATCTGATATACTCTTGCCACAGATTGCCGAGGTTGTCAATAGCATGAAAGACCTTGTAGATTTTTGCCGGGACAATAAAGTCGGTCCTATAGGTAATTACTTGTATATGCTGTTGGAATATGGTCATATACTTGAGGGGTATATCCATTTTCTTATTTTTTTTAATTTAAATGCATGTCATCAAAGTCCACTGTCTGCTTGACAATAAAGTAGAGCCTCTTTGCACCTGATCCTCAAAAGCGGATGAATGTTTAGTTTTAAGAAGTGTATGAATCTCTGTGGACATAGTTAATTAATCTTGTTTTATAAGAGACGCATTGCATTTACAACACTTGCGCTGCATTAGTGAGCTTGTCATGCTCCACTCATTAGGCTCAATGTCACTGTTCAACAAATTTGTGGAAATCAATGCAGTATATATTCACCTTGTATCTCCGTCTCGGGCAGCAGGGTTATGCTATTTTCCTTGCCGACTCTCTCTCTCTTTTTCTAATTATTTCTTTTATTATTTTTAATCCATTAAAAGCATCATATCTTGTCAATAATTACACCTAGGAAGTTCACTTCTACAAGGTTTCTTTTATTGGCCATTTTGTTTCCTTTAATTTAATCGTTCATGTTTTCCACAAGCACATACCTGAATGTATCTATATTTCTCTCCTCGAGTTTCAGAGTTCAATTAGCTTGGCGAGATGATTATGCTCTTCAAGCGCATATGTGAAAAACCCTGCCTGAAATGGGACTGCAAGTGATGATTCAAATATGTGAACTAATATAGATTGTTAAACTTAGCTACTCCCTCCGTGTTTTAAGAAGTGTTACACTTACCAAATGCGGCCGTGTTTAAATATGTGTTGCACTTTTTTTTTTCTTCTTTTTTTTTTTTTTTTTTTTTTTGTTTTAGCAAAAAGCTACATTTTAATATTAAATCTTTCTCCTCTCACGGTCCCAACCTAAACCTATTGATACTTTTTTTTTTTTATTTTATATTTTTATATTTTTTTTATTTTTTTTTATTTCTCTCTTCTCACATTCATTACTTTTCAATAAACTATTAATCCCACTATTTTTCTTTTATAATTTTTTAATTCTCCAACTACCCCACTTACCTCTTATTTTTTAGTTAAGTAAATTAAATTGACTAAAACTATGTCCCGGTCAAAGTGTAACACTTATTAAAACACGAAGGGAGTATGTTTCTTTTATCCCATAGGTCATACCTGTTTGGATGCCTGGTCTTGACTTGGCAGTTGACACTGACACTTTGACTTGTGACCTAAACCATATTCAAGTTCATAAATTTGTGAGGCCTGAACCTTAGTTCATAAATTTGTGTGTGTGTGTGTGTGTGTGTGTTCAGAGCGTTGAACATATGATGCTACCAGTAAGGGTTCTTACAGGAATATAGTTGGGTTTTAGGTAGTGCCTTTTGTTGCTTAGATTGATTTTAGGTTGTGCGTTAGACATCTCTTCCTTACTTTTTATATCGTACGGCTGTTGTTGTTAGACATCTCTTCCTATTGGTAATTTAGTCTTGAGAATATTTGAAAGCTTGGTACACCCTGTGTAATCTGCATGACTCTTGTTTTAATTTTTAGCTCATCTGATTCTTCTGTTTCGTTTGAACTGTATTTCTGAATTCTGTTCTTTTTGTCTCATATGCAGAGGGTTTGAAAAGTTATCCCCGACATGGCTCTGCATCGAAGCTGCAGATGCAGAGGATTCAGGAAATGGAGCAGCTAGCTGGTCTTCAAGGTCTGCCCACTGATAGAAACACTATCAATAAACTAATGGCAATGCAGCAGTCTGGGATGAATAGCCCTAACATGGGCAACAACCCTAATATGCTTGCCAGTAACCGAGGCACATTAAGTGGGCAGGCAGCTGCTGCCTTAGCACTGACCAACTACCAGAATATAATGATGAGACAGAACTCCATCAACTCAAATCCTAACTCACTTCAGCAGGAAGCATCTTCTTCTCATAATAACCAAAGTCCATCTTCCTCTTTTCAAGGGGCTTCTAGTGTCCTTCCAGGGTCAATGCAGACTTCGCCAGTAGGTGGATTTTCAAATCCGCAATTGGGTGCCCAGCAACAGCAGCGCACTGTGAGTGGTAATGGCTTATCTCAACAGAATCAGCAGCCGTCACCTGGCAATCAGGCTTTGCAGCAGCATATGCTTCAGCAGTTACTGCAGGATATGTCTGGAAATAATGCAGCAGGACAACAAAAAAACATTGGTGGGCAAACTATGAATGCAAGTGCTGCTGCAAATGGGTTAGGATATGGAGGCAATGGTACACCATCGACTCCAGCTGCGTCGAGTAATGTGCCTGGAGGTGGGGGGCCTACTCTAAGTAAGAACAACAGTTTTAAAGCTGCTAACAGTGATTCATCAGCAGTTGGAGGTGGTTCCAATGGTGGATTTAATCAGAAAGCGTCAGAAATGCCGCAAAATCTGCATTTGACAGATGACATGGTTCCAGATTTGCCTCATGATTTTGCAGATAATGGATTTTTTGGCAGTGACCTTGACGATAATATGGGCTATGGATGGAAGGCATGAGATTGTTGATGGAGAGGACAGACGACTAACTGGTCAATTCTCTTTTAGCATCCTTATCATAGGTGCTCAGGAAACATTGTACAGGATATTGAGATAGTTCTCAAATTCACTCCTCTTTTTTTGGGGTTTTAAGTTCATGAGTTCTTTGAAAAAAAATATCTAGCTTCTCAGTAGGTTTACAGCCATCATTGTCTTTTTTTTTTTTTCCCTTCTGATTTGAGTCTTGGAAGTGTAATTTATCAGACAAAACCTAATGCTTAAGTAACGTGGTAGCTACACAGTTTAGTTGGCTTTCTGAAAGCTTTGTGCATTTGCAGTGTCTTTGAGATTGCTTGAATTGTTGCTTTCAGAGTGCAGTTTGTCTGAGGTTATTAATCAGCATAGACAATGATGAAGGGCACCTGTGCTGTAAATAATAATCAAAATGCATACCACATAAAAATGGTGTTACCCTGAAAACAATGTCAATTCATTTTTACTGAGTCTTATGGTACACGGGATTATGGGAAAAACAATACAGACGTATATTTGCACAATGACAAAAGTATAAAAATGAGGATATTTTTCATCCCGAAAAGTTTTGACCAATTGAGTAGCTTGTTGTTTTGAAGCAAAATAGCGAATGTAAACCATCAATAGAGGAAAATATTGTATTTTTGGAGACCCTATAACTTATAATAAGATTCAGGAAGTCTTAATATTAGGGCTCATCATATTTTTGTCTCACCAACTTCTTTAGTTAGTATTCTGTTGTCTCTGTATGCTATTAACCAAAGACATTATAATGGTTAGACTTCTTACTTCAATGACATGTTAAGAATTTAGTCTTGGGAATAGGGACAGCATATACTAGCAAATTATACACTCGTGGCTTCCCATTTTCAACAATGAAGTTTCGATTAGTATAGATTTGCAGGGGCAGCAATACAACTCTTAATTTTCAGATTGCACTTCAAGCAGTTGATCAGAAAGTAGATAGCCCTGAACTGAAGCACCATTTAGCAGCGCACAGCTTTTGCACTTAACACAATGGGCATTTTAGATTTAAATTTCTCGGCTTCAGACTTTTTTCCTACTTGCGTCAAAACCCCAACAATGCAAGCATAATGCTCTGCTAATGGTTGTATTCCATAATTATCATGCATATCCTCCAGTATCTTCCAAGCCTTGTCTATATCACCTAAATATGCGCAAGCAGTCAATATAGCAGTGAGGGTAACAGGATCAGGTTGAGTCCCCTGATTCAACATGTCATCAAAAAGATTAAGGGCATGATTAGCATCTCCATTTGTTGCATGAGCTGCAATTATCGCTGTCCAAACCATTACACTCCTATGCCATGATTGATCAAATACATGCTGTGCTCCTTGAAGAAATCCAGCTTTTCCATACACATCGATCAAACCTGTTACCACATATATATTGTCCTCGAGATAATTTCTAATAGCATAGGCATGTACTTGTTTGCCTGCGCTTGGATTGCAGAAGTGGGATAATGCAGAAAGAACACTTGCTACTGTCACAGAATTAGGTTTAAAGCCTAAATCCTGCATTTCCCTTGTTAAACCAATGGATATCTCATGAAAATTGTTCTGTGCCAAACCAGAAATCACACCGTTCCATGTACTCAAACTCGGGCTTTCCATCCTCCTGAATAAATCCATCGCTTTCTCCACAAAACCGTGAGCCAAATAGCCAGAAATCAAACAGCCATATGTAACCTCATCTCTCTCACTCATCTTATCAAACAACTCTTTAGCATAATCCAAGCTACCACATTTAGCATACATCCCTATAATTGAATTACAGACCAATGTATCAATTTTAATATTTTTGTCTACCGCGAATTTATGTACTTCCATCCCTTGAACAAGATCCCTCTTTTGAGCACAAGCCTGTAGTACACTTGCCACGGTCACGCCATCCGGGCTCAAATTCTTTTCATCCAACAATAACTTATAAAGATTCAAACATTCCTCAAAACACCCACCTTGAGAATACCCTGAAATCATGGAATTCCATGACACTAAATCTCTCTTCCTCATCAAATCAAACACTTTTCTTGCCATACCCAATTCATCACACCTTGCATAATACGTGATCAAAGGATTAACAACAAAAAAATCCAATTCAAACCCACGTCGCAACGCATAACAATGGATCTCCCTAGCCAAGTTTCCATCCGAAAACAAGCTCGACAACGCCTTCAAGACACAAGTAAGAGTAAAATTATCAGGTTTCACTGAAACACTTGAATTTCTCACAAAAGAAGAAAACAGCTTCAATGTCTCTACTGGCTTATCATCACATGAATAAGCTATGAACATAGCATTATAAGACCAAATATTTCTCTGGGGAATTTCAACAAACACCTTTCGTGCATGAACAACGTGCCCTGTTTTAGCGTAAAAATTGATGAGTTTTGAACCCAGAAAATTATCAACACTAAAGTTACAGAGAACAATACGAGCATGAAGTAATTTCCCCTGTAATATGAGACGATGGTTGGCACAATATTGAAGAAGATGGCCATAATCGCCATTAGTAAGGTTATATGGGTCGTTGAACAAGTTCTTTAAAGCAAGTTGAATGGGGCTAAATTGTTTGGAGATAGAAAAATTGTGGGTATTTAATGGTCTTCTTAAGATCTTCATACATTCTCAATATACTTGAAATTTGCTGTAATGAATGGTTTATACTCTGCATTCCTCTGAAGATATGTTGGGTTTGGGGTTTGTCAATGATATGGAGAAGGTATTGTTGTGTGTTACTTCACTTGTGTAACATTTTCTTGGGAAATAATGCAATTGTGTTCATTATGTTTTCGAGTACACTTAATTATACACACGTTGATTTGCGTATATATTATATGTCTGCACTGCATATGTTGTTTTAAGAACACGATATTTCTCATGGTTGTCAACATATGTTTAAATTGCTATTAGTCATTCAAAATTATCTACTAAATGTTCGCCGAAGATGACATCGATTGTAACCCTAGCATCACCAGCCAATAGAGGTTGAAAATGGATTCGAATCAATTTATTATTAGTTAATTAGAGTTCATTATCAATTGTTTAATTGGATAACAATGCATACCTCCTTATTTTGTAAAATTACACATTCAAAAATCCTTTTGTATAGACATTTTCCAATTCAAATTTAGGTAATGTTACACCATTATATTCTCAAATTATACATCTTGTCACTAACAAATGACAACCAAAGCAAATCAAAACCAACTCACTAAATTCTTAAAATACAATCTGTTTGGGTCCAATTTAGTTCAATTGGGCTTAGGCATTAAATGATCCAATTAAAAGCCCAAGGTCAAGGTTCATCTCTCCAATTGTGCTAAAGTCAAAGATCAGTCCTCAAGGCAAGGCAATTGGGCTAAGGCCCAACTTCTCCATGTATGAAGAGGTATAAAAGTCATCAATATTACATTTTTACATTGATTCAAGCAAAGCCTCAAGCAACTAATTCTCTTGCATAGTGTTCTCTTTCTACACACTGTACTGACTTTAGCATCGGAGGGACCTTCCTCGGCAACACCCCCGAGGCTAGTTTACGTGTGTTTACTGTGCAGGAAACCTTCGGCCCAACATTTCTTGGATCGAATCTAGTCTTCTCCACTTCATCGGACCTTCGGCAAGGTCCCATTGTTTTCACCCGAAACACAATCTAATTCGATCTATATTAAGCATATCAAAATATAGCTAATAAACCCTTCAAAAAAAAAATATAGCTAATAAAACTCTATATGTACTCCATGCAACATAAAATCAACCAAAAACTTCATCAAATTCAATAAATAAATTCATTTAAAAAATCGAATAAATAAAGATGAAGGGGGTTAACAACCAAAGCATGATTAAGATGGTGTGTTTTGCATTGATTATTGGGATGATGCTCTTAGCAAGCAATAACGCGGTAATGGTAGAAGGAAGACTTCTAGGAAGACTTGCATTGAAGGTAAAACAAAGACTTGGGGATCTTCATTTCCCTGGTCTCGGGACGTGTGGATTCGACACCATGTATCCATGTCCACCAATTCAAAAGATTGATAAGCAAGAATGCATCGTCGATACTTGTTGGATGTGCCCGCAACTTGGATATAAACGTATAATCTAATGAATATGTAAGAATGTTGTTAAACATGTTGTTGCATTATTTATATAAAGTTAGAGGTTTTTTTAAGGACATGTTTTCCTACATCCATACTTGTCATATTGGCATTATTAAATATTGATTGAAATAACATCGTTTATATTATCATATACGGAGTATTTATTACTCCCTTCGTTTTTGAATACTTGCTTCATTTTTTCATGTGCGGAGTTTTAGGAGAAATTAGAGAAAGTAATAAAATATGGAGGTAGTGGGGTTGGTGGAAGAATAAAAAATTGTAAAAAATCAAAAGTAGTGGAAAGAATTGAAGGAGAGAAAATATGGAATTAATATTGTTGGGTCCACTTGGTGAGAGAAATTAATAAAATATTGTAAAGCTTTCCAAATAAGCAAATGGAGCAATTATTTAAAAATGGCCGGAAAAGAAAACTGGAGCAAATATTTAAAAACGGAGGGAGTATTAATAAACCACTTTTGCATTACTACTTGTACCTTATACAAAATAGAGGATGATGAATTCGAACCTGTGAGGCTTGTACATACACCTCATTGGTACTTTCACATCGTTTTTGTTGTACAAGGAGTCATAGCTTTCACATTTGTTTTGTCAAAAAATCATGCAAATCATGGGACTTGGTTGGAATGTCAAAGCCTCAAAGGCTAGACTAAGTAATACTGCGTATAGAACTAATGTTGAATAAAAAAATGTTAGGAAATGTGAAAAAATTACTCATAGGAAGAAACTTCCAAAATTTCTCTAAATGCGTGGATATTTGACTTCTATTTTGGAATTTTTTTTGACTTTTTTTCACCTGGAAAAAAAATGCCGAAATATTAACCATGGTCCCTTATACCCTCCGGGTGTCCAATTGGCCGGGTGAAACCATCCAATTTGCCTTTAAACGACCAATTTACTAGTTTACAACTGCACCGACTTTATTAACTCAAGCCTACCACGAACATTTATGACAACATATAATGATCATATATTGTTCCAAACGACATTATATTACCCCGAGATTTATCCTGTAGAATTTCAAGACTTTTCGACATTGAGCCCCCAAACCTCAAAAATTTCACAAAAAACGTGGATATTAGTCTTCAATTTTGGAATTTTTTGACTTTTTTTCACCCGGAAATAAAAATTGCCGAAATGTTTACCATGGTCCCTAATACCCT